GGCTCCTCCAAGGGATTATTATCTCAATAGTGCAGATACTATGAACACTAAGTAGTATAAGCCTCCCTTCGACTTAAGTGCATTCATCCTAGGGAGGATTTCATGCATCAATCCACCCTTTAACGCATCTCAATTGACTATGGTTCCTAGAACAATTCTGACCTATAATAAGCACTCAATAAATACTGTGCAGTAAATGAGTAACTCTGGAGCTTGCTCTTTGGGGTTTTTTGTTTGTTTCTTTCTTTTTTTCCTTTTAAGACAGGTCTCACTGTATAGCCCAGGCTGACCTCAGACTCATGATCCTCCTGTGTCTGCCTCCCAGGTGCTGGGATTACAAAAGTACAACAGCACATCTAGTTGAAGAAATGTTTTAAGTAAAACCTAAGAATACCTAATAAAAACATCTACTAAGCCGGGTGTGGTGGTGCACGCCTTTAATCCTAGCACTGGGGAGGCAGAGGCAGGTGGTCTCTGTGAGTTCAAGGCCACCCTGGTCTACATAGTGAGTTCCAGGACAGCTGGGGCTACAGAGAGACCCTGTCTCAAAAAGACCAAAAAAAAAAAAAAAACCATCTACTAATTCTGAAGAGTATGAAGGATACAAAATCTCATTATGACATGCAGAGTTCAGACATGGACATAAGTAAGGATCTATAGGGTGAGAAGCCTGGCAATGTCTAGACCCAAAATGTAACTTTTCATTGACATATTTTCCAGGATTGCCTTGTCTGGTCTGACTGTCCTAATTCTGATCTACAGAAAGAAATAAACTTCTATTTTGACAAACAATTGTTCTCAGCATGTAATTTATGTTGCTTGTGTCAATTAAGTGATTAGCTTCTGTTTGTGGAGCATCTCATATGTGCCAACCTCTTGAGCTACAAACACACACACACACACACACACACATCACAATAAATGGTAAACTAATATTATCTCCATACAAATAAGAGGAAGCAGGGGCTTGCAGAGCCTAAGATGATTTTTCCAAAGTCAGTGACAATTATAAAAAGATGAACCAATATCTGAGCTCAGATCCAGCTGACCTCAAGTCATGGCCTTTGTAACTCTGCCACGCTGTTCTGTGTAGTCTAAACACTGTTATTCCAATCACATAGCCTGGAGGAAGCCTGGGAGAGTCAGCATACTCTTAGCTAAAAAATGAGGAAACACCCACACTAAAAATAATAAAATGAGGGGAAAATATTTCAAACTATGACTCTTGATGATCCACTTTTGGTAGAGAGATGCATATTGACAGAACAGTCTTCCCCCATGATGCTGGGCCTGGAATTTGGTTGCTGCTCTCATTGCAGTTCTTGGCACAATTAACTGCCCATGTACAACAGCACATGTCACATACATCTACCATCATACTGTTTAAATTTCAATCAAGTAGCAAGAGAAAAAAAGCCTACCTATCATAAACCAAACATCAGTCCCAGTGTCCTAAGGCTCTGCTTAATTCAATAAATAATATTCCAAAAGGTATGGAAGTCTTTCCACCCTAGAGGTGTCCTCCAAAACATGTGCACACAGCACATTCAGACCACTCACTACGGTCTACTTCAAGAGCCCCATGTTCTGAATTTATGGACAAAGGTTTCTCTGCAGAAGCAAAGTGGCAGGAGCAGAATCCTAGACGCTTTCTATACCCAAGAGATACACAGGAAGCAGGCCACCTTAACCAGCACTTGTTCAAGAACCAGCCAGTTCACAAGGTACAACCACAACATAACAAGACAGGATGTCCCAGGGCTGACAGGTTTGAAGGTGCATTTTCATATACTCCATTGTGTGGCTGATCTTAATACTTGAAGAGGAATTTCAAGTTGAAATCTGAGCTGTTAATTGTCAGATAATGAGGGCTATGATGTCATTCTAAGCTGAGTGTAATTCAGACATTATATGAGAAGAGGGATTTTACTGGGCTGTATACACAACAGGTATTCAGTGAGTAAATAGAGGTGAAATAGAATAAATGGGCACCAGAATACTTGTCTTCCAAAAGCACTCATCTTTCCAAAATCTGAAGGACCAACATCTACCTTATAGTAAAGTAAAACAGCCCCGATGAATCCAAAAACATGGTATCAGGCCATAGCCTTTTGTACCATTTTAAAAAATATTGTATTTATTATTTTTACTTTATATTTTATATTTATTTTACATGAATATTTAACAAATATTTTATATTTATTTTATATGAGTGTATTGCCTACAAGTATATAGGTGCACCTGTGCCATGTGATGCCTGCAGAGGTCAGAAGAGGGTGTCAGATTCCTCTGGAACTGGTGTTACAGGCAGTTGTTAGCCACCATGTGGTTGCTGGGAACTGAACCCAGGTCCTCTGCAAAAGTAGTCATTGCTCTGAACTGCTGAGCCATCTCTCCAGCCATTCAAATTTTGAAGGGCCAATATTTCTCCATGTTATAGTGAAATAAAACAACCCAAAGCAATCCAGAAACATGGTTTCATGACATAATCTTTTACACCATTTGCAATAGCCTTGACCCTCTATATCTTACAATGGAAAAAAAAAGCAAAAAACAACAGTCTGCCCATACTTGCATAAGAAGTTCTCTAATTATTTAGGGCTATTACTTGGAATGCTACAAACATCTCCAATTAAGAAATGTAGCTTGCTTGAAATTATAATGGAAGCGATAACCAACAGAATTACAGACCACTGAAGTAAGCACTTAGTGATTTTTTAAGAACTGAAACAAAAATAACTACTTTCTGAAACAAGCAAACTTTAAGGGTTAGGTTTAAGCTGGTCACAATGACTGGTATGTGCACACACTACAGAAGCACCTAGAAACTCAGCTTTGCAACTGCCTTTGCCTCGGCAATATTTTCAGTGTCATAGAATCAAGCATATGGAAAAAATTCTTGATGGTCAGTCCAGAATGCCGATGCTAAGATATGTTCCTAAGGCCCCAATCCAGGGTATGACTTAGGGTCAGGGTCCTGAAAGAAACTGATCATATTTGGACCTCCTAGGAATGCACATTCTCTATAATGAAATCGTGTTTACAGAGTTCAAGAGGATTACAATGTCATTTTGTTATAATGAAGAACATCTCTCTTCAGAGAACCCAGCAACACATGAACGTTTCTCTGCTAACCAGAAAACCAGAGTGCTGGATATTTCAGGATGCTGTTGGTGGGCAATTCATTAGAGATACCAGAAAACTGACTGATATATTTATTCTGGAATTTCTATAGACAATACTCTGATGACCAAGATGCTCAGGTTTGATAAGAAAAAGTTAAATTCTTAAAACTAACTGTATACTTATATAATCTTCTTTTAAGCTTAGACTATTTTGTAGTTTCCTTTTGTTTACTTACTAGATAGATAGCCCTGAGATGTTTTACTGCTCAGTGATGCTTTATTGCTCTGTGATGTTTTCACTAACCTGAGATGTTCTATTACTCTATAATATCTTGAAGCTCTGTGATGCTTTCCACTTACTAGGTCTAACTGTTGATGAAGATGTGAAACTAAGAAAACGGAAAGTTCGCCAAATGGTCTAATGAGGCACCTGGTCCAATTAGTCCAAGAAAAGTGTAGATCAAATGTGACAGATATCTAAACTTCTACCACTGATACCTGTTTTTATGAATGGTAATGACTGTTTGACCAGTTCCTAGCCCAATTAGCCTGGCCTGGCTGTAGATCTAAAGGCAGCAGATGTCCTGACTCATACCTGCTTTGTAAACTGTAATAACCAGGTAAATTCAGTAAGGAATTTTCTTGAGATAACATGGCACATCAAAGTAAAGTGCTATAGGGCCCAGGTGGCAACCAGTAAATGACTCAAAAAGTTCTATATACCCTGATTTATATGCTGCTCTTGGCCCAGAAAATCTAAAAGCCTTGATTGCTAATTCTGAGACCTCATGCATGTGAAAGAGTAAACGAGCTTTCTGGCTCTCTCCTGGGTAAATGTTTGATCTCTTAGCTGTTTGAAGAATTTTTCCGTAACAGGCTCACCTGCAGTCTTTGGTTAGGGTTTTTTAATGCAAGTTTTTCATTGATTGAGCTAATTATTTTATGTAATCTTTCTTATTCAATCCCAGTGCCCAGTGTTTAACTGTGACCAACCACAATCTCTCCCTTTGGATGTATTTTTTTAAAAACATGAATAGATAAGATTGGGGTCTGCTGTTCATTTTCCCAGTTCTTTGCTGGGTTACTGTCTAGGAGTCTCTTGGGCCACCCTGGCCAACAACTCAAAGAAGGTATCTCCTGTCTGGCATTGTTTCTTGTTATGTAGCCTTTAGCTATATACATGGACTCTTAAAGAATTATATTGATCCCTTTAATCTTTGGTTATACTTTCCTTTTGGGTGTTTAAGGCCATACAGTTGGCCCAGATAAACCAATTTATTTTTACTCTTAAGGTCTTTTGAGGATCTGTTCCTCAGGGGTCACATGGGCTTGGGAGGAGCCCCTGGCTCCTTTCTTTTACCAGTTCCATCTATGTGAAGATAAGTCAAAGGTCCTGCTTGACCGTGGCTGGCTTCACTTGGAAGCATGGAGGAAATGTTTCCTCTGTGTTGACCCTCTTCTAATTATGTGGTTATAAAATAAATAATTTTTTAAAAACATAAATAGATAACCATCTTTCCATTATTAGTTTCAAGTCTTTTTCTTAAATCTAGGAAAAAAATATCCTTCTTCAAATGAACCCTTACTGAGAATTATAACATTAAAAACCATGAAAAAGTGGCTGTTCACTAACTGAAACAAGCACCAGGACTTTGGGCTTAGACTCAGTCACACCCAGAACATTCTTCTCTAACTCAGCCCTTGGAGGATGAACCAAAAGTTTGAAAGAATACTCAGAATGCAACTGGGCTAAATTATACCCAAGTCCCAGCCAGCCCCATGTTTCTACAAAAACAAAGTCATGTTGTCCAGGAAAAATTTTCACATTCCAAAAGCATTTGTGTTGAAGCTTCTGCACAGAGCAGTTCCACTCACCACGACCGGCTTCAGGATGTCCATGTTGGCACGCATTACTCGCTCTGCCGTGTCTAGTTTCTCCCTTGGAAGACCACAAAGGGCAGAAACTTCCTGGTCACCAAGCCAGATGATATCTTCTAATTTTGATCCATTGCACAGACTGGCCAAATGTAACTGGTAACCTTGCAAAAATACCTGGAGGGATATCATGGAAACAGAGACAAACAAAACAGATTACCAAGATGGGAAGCTGGTCCTGGAAGCCCTTGGGGAAGTGTCACATGAATGCAGCTTGGAAGACCTTAAACAAGGCACCACTGTGGTCACCCCATGAGTGAGGTCTCCTCATGGAATCCTGGAATGAATCGAGGCACAATCAGCCTCTTATTTCAAATCATGGTTGAATCGGTATCTCCACACTCTTGTCCCTCTTGCACAGGGAAATCCTGAAGGCAAGACTTTTTCCCAATACATGATTCAGCCAATAGAAATCCAGAATCTGAACTCTGAAACCACATTTATTATAGGAAGAACATCCTAATCATTCTGGAATTTATGGTGTCTGACACTGGGATAGCCTGAATCATGAAAAAATTATACTGTTTATCTGTAGGTACAGTTAACAAATGCATAGTACTATGCTCAAGGAATGTCAGAATTTGGAATGTTTTATTTTACCTGCTCCCAAAGAATGCTGGAAACCCAGGATGCTTCTCATCTCTTTGTTAGGCCAGTTCTAAGCCATTCTTACCTGTTCCTTACAACAAACCCACTAGGGAGTCTCTCTTTGGTCATACTTTGTCTACATAAGCAGCCTTTCTAAACTGTATTTCTTCATGTGATCCTTACTTATCAATAGACAGAAAACTTTGTAAGAAGATGGGGCCTTTGTTTATGGAGCACACTTGTATATCCACAGTACTAGAAAACTATTTGTTAAGTTGATGGGTGAACAAATGAGCGAATTAATGAATAAATGAATGAATGATCAAGGCTCTTTACTAATCCCTCTATTAGTTTAAACTAGTGCAGTCTACCCTGCTTATAGAGAGACCGGATATAACAATGTGTGTGGTGGACCAAAAGACTCTTAAAACCCTTGCAGCTTTCCAAACACTGAGACTATCTGATCTGCCACTGTTTCCATTCAATTTTCACTCACTGCAAGACACTCAAGTATACACGCTTTACTCCATCTTTAACTAGCCCTTGTTCCTATGCTGTGCTTAAGAACACTGATGAAACAGAGACTCTAATTGTCATGCAAGAGCCACCTCCATGCTCAGGATGCCTCTTATTTTATACCCGTGGCATGTAACAGATAGGAAATTGGCAGGGGGCAATGGAAATTACCCTAAATGCAACTGTTTCAAAAGTCTGCTGCCTCTGGCCCACCTCCCAACCACACAATTGGTAAACACAAGGCATATTTTCCTAGTTTCATAAGGGCAAGCAGTAAGCACATTTTTCTCATTTTAAAAATTCTCAGTCATGTGAAGCAAAGATCTTTTCATCCATAAACACTTCTACTGCTTACTGTGAAGGCAAGTGACCACAGAAGCAGAAGACAGGTGACAGGGCAGCTCTGCTTCCTGCCGGCAAGAAAGTCAAGAAAAACCTTTGAGAAAAAAACCTAGAGCCATGAACTCTGCCCAGAAGCGTCAGGAAAATTAATGATGCCAGGGAAGGTCTCCAAATCTAAAGTTAAAATTCTATGTAAACACTACTATTACATAATAAGCTTAGCAAGTGTTCTCCTTACATATCTTTTCTTATCTTTAAATTGAAACACTTGTTTTTTTTTTTTTAAATCTACTGTCTTAGACAGAGTTACTCCAAATCAATCCTCACCTCTGGCTCTTACTTCAGCACTATAATTTTAATGCTTAATTCATTTTAATTCAGAATATAACTCTTTTAGGAAGAAGTCAGTATAGTAAATTCCAAAGGACAGGCAGGAAATCAGTTTCAATTTGGCCAGCTGGCCCTGATGCCAGGTCACACATTCCTCACTGCAGGATTCGACCACACCAACCTGAGCAGGGAGCAAAATGAGGTGAAAATACAGCTGCGCTAGCTGCCTCCTTCACCACCACTATAAAGACAGGCGTTTATTCATTTCTTCCCAGGCAGTCTGACAATGTACTAGTTCACTGAGGAAGTGGAAGGTGGCAGCTTACCTTGTGGAGACTGACATCAGCCTGCAGCAGGTTATCCACAGTAGGCCTTGGGAGAGAGAGATTGTGATGCAAGAATTCAGAGAAGCTTTCATTGTCCACCAAAAAATCCTGGAGCTTCAAATCTATCGAGAGAGAGAGAGAGAGAGAGAGAGAGAGAGAGAGAGAGAGAGGGAGAATGGTGTTTTGTTTTCATTTAATAACTCCACACAAAAAAAGATTCAAGCACTATGAGGCAGGTAGTGAAAACTAGAATATATTGATTGCCTTGTTTCAAACTGATTGGTGACCACAGGCTTCTAGATTATGCACACTGAGACATGAGTTAGGGGAGCTTTACCTTTACGAGAAAAGACATGAAAAGACTGCTTTCTGATAGCATGTTGAGCCATACTCAACATGTGCCTCCACACTAAAACAGTCCAACAGTACTGTTACACGGGGCCTTTCCTTGTTTCCAAACAAAAATCCAAACCTGCTACATGATCTCATCCATCCTACTTGAAATTTGTGGCATTAACCCCACTGTTAATGCCTGTAAGAAGGCTAGAGAATCTCACTTCTCACTAGCAATCAGGTGATGATGTTGCCAGCCTGGTGATCACATTTAAAAAAAAACAAAACAAAACAAAAAAACACTGGTCTAGCTCATGATGCATATCAAAGTGCTTTTACATTTTTTTTTGAATTCAAAACAAAATGTGCTATGGAGCCCTAAAGCTCCGATCCCTCTAGCCCTCAGAAAATATGTAAGCTAATGTTTAAAAATGTACCCTTTACTAAATTCTTTGTTAAAACCTTTCATATAGACTCCTGTTAAACAACAAAGCCCCCAGGCACATGTAGAAAAGGCTGGATCCAGTGGCGTGAAATGGAAATGGCACTGGCCAACAGCTCAGATTTCTAGTCCCTAGAGTTGGAGGCTGTGTCTGATGGAGCACTTGAATATAATCACAGCATCTTTCTGAACTTAGCTCTCCTCCATCTCCAAAGCAAGAGATTTCTAAGAAGATGCTGGGTGAGATCCTCTAACTATGAAACACTCCTTTCCTTGTCTTATTTAATTTGATTATCCATCTCTGCTCTTTCCTCTCTAAACTTCTAATAACCGAAAATTTTTTTTTTTTTTGCAATAAAGATAAAATTAGCTCATCAGTGACCATATGGTCTGTGGGGCAGGCAAGACATTATTTCCAGATCTGACCTCTAGAGGGCAAACTTCACAAGCCCAAATCATTTACCTGAAGAGGAATAGCCTTTTCATCTAAAAACAGGGCTACAGTGTGCAGTTGATGAGAATAGAAGTTAATTCCAGGAGCTAAGAGGGCCATCCTGCATGGAGACACACAGTCTAACCAGAATCTCATTAAAGTTGAATGACCCAGGCATGTTCTGCCTTGAGCAAACTTCAGTAGTATTGAATAGAGCTCTAGAACAAACAAATAAGGAAGAATGATTCTCAGTACCTGTGTGGCTCAGTCCTAGGGTTCCTCATGACACCCAGAAGCTGATCCCAGGCCTGTTGGTGACCCTCTTCAAAAGAGGTGCTCCAGCAAGCTATCACCTGCCTAAGATTTCCATCACATATGATGCCAAACTGTTACCACTGGCTGGGCTCACTTCTGTGGTTGTCAAAACTCAAATCACCCTAAGATTCACAGTGGGTTGGGGGAGGCAATGCTCAACTAGTCACCAGCACCCAATCCCTTCAGATTCTAAAACAGTGGTTCTAGGGTAGATAGACTACAAATCTACATTTTAATAAGCAGCCTTCATACTTCTAAGGTAGGAGATTTAGAAGCTACATTTTAAGAAACGTTATTTCACTTACTGCCTGCATTAAGTTGTGCCTATAAGAACACAGAATGCGTGCTTTTGCCTCAGTGGCCCAAATACTCAGATGAAGGCCTGACACAGAATTACTCCTTGGTCAATGACAGTTGAATAAATATGGTACTCCCATAAAGAAGATTCCAGAAGTGTCTTTCAGCTGAGTTTAGAAAGAAGCCAAAGATGTCAGGACTATCCTCAGGCCACACCTCAGGAGTAAGTAGGACCTCTGACCACTAGAATTATCTCCCCAAAGATAACATCTGGAACATCCCAGAATCCCCAAGACAGAGATAAACTGAAAGGTAAGTGGGTAGGTAGGTAAGTAGGTGAGCAGGCTTCAGCTAAAGCGCAAGGTTAAAAAGCAGACATATTCATATACCAATAGAAAAACTACCAGATTAAGAATTTGAAATTTAGTTCAGTCAGTAGAGTGCTTGTCAAGCCTGTTCAAGGCTCTCTCTCTCTCTCTCTCTCTCTCTCTCTCTCTCTGTCTCTCTCTCTCTCTCTCACACACACACACACACACACACACACCACATACCATAGTAGGTATAAGAAACCTAGGTTCTGTATCCATTTATCTGCCCAGGTCATTTAACCTACTGGCATTTATACTACCTGACCAATAAAATGAGAGCCAAAAGAGGCCTCTGAACTGTAGACAGAACAGAATAAACTAATCCTCGGATTAGCCAGGTGGCCACAAATTCCTTCTAAGCAAAGCCACAGAAGTACACAGCATCCCACTGAGGAATTTCAGAACAAGCCCCTCTTTTCTTCGCAGGGCAGCAAAAGTGTGGGAGTTTGACCCAGGCTGCACTTTCAATGGGCCTAGGTCATCCAGCAACACCCTGGAGACCAGCAAATGTGCTTGGCATGTTTATAAGACTCTTCTGTTATGTCAACAGGCTCTGAGGATGAAAACAGCTGGATGTGATCAAACTCCAACTGCCCGTCCCCTGGATGAGACACAAGAACCAAGAAGTCGACTCAATAGTTAACGCCCCTTGTCAGTGCATGTTCATGGTGGGTGGAGAAGCAGGGAGGGACAAAGATCCCTGGCTGCAAACAACTTGCAGTCTGATCACATGGGTATACACACAATGTGTTCTACTGTCATAGCACCACTGACAGTTGCTACTCATGTAATCACAAGAAAGCAACACGATGTGGCATGCTGTTTCTCAATTTGGGCTGCTACTAGACCCGCCTCAGAGCTTTTGTAAAAATCACACACACACAAAATTTAGATGTAAATGTTCACTTGGAATACTAAGTTTGTGCAGGGCATCAGGTATAGCCCTTGTCTGCCCGCTGCTCAACTCATGCTGTCTCCCCTCTGAGAGCTTTCTCACTTGAAGAAATAAATCTAATGTAAGAAAGAGTGAATTCCAGCTCTCTGACAGCTCTGTATTGACTGTATATGTCCAGGTCTATAATAAATACAAAAAATACTTTTTAAAATAAACCAAAAATAATAAAAATAAAAATCACAAAGCCCAGATCACACCCCAAAATAATCAATCAAAACTGCTAGGGATAAGAATTGGGCCTCAGAATTAAAAAAAAAAATCTCAGATGGTTCCAGGAAAGTTTGAAAAACAGCTGGGTAAAATAGTACACATCTGTCATCTCAGCACAGGAGGTAGAGGCAGAGAACTGCAAATTAGTGGTCAGCCAGGGCCACATAGTGAGCTCAAGGTCAGCCATCCCTACAAAGGGAAACTGTGTTTCAAAGAAATATGTATATGGGAAGAAAGATGAGAGAGTTTAGGACCATAAAAGCCCAAATGTGATACTGCACCCTATTATAAATTGGCTGTGTGGTGGCGAGAAGGTCACTATGCCTTAGTGAGGTCAAGCTTTCTTATCTTTATACGAAGATGACAGGATTCATCTTTGAAGACCTGAGGGCAAGAGATGCATTTGCAAAATTTGAACGGTGAGCAACTAACACATGACAGTTGTTTAATAAGCTGTAATACATTTGCTGTTACTAAAGAGGCAGTTTTCACTCAGGTTTACCTCACTGTATAACAGTGCAGTGCACAGAAAAATGAGAGTACGGTTCTGCTGTCAAGGGTTATTGATAAAGGGGATGAAGAGGCATAGCAATTAGAGAAAGCAGAAGAAAGGGAAAGAACGCCAGAGGGAGACAATTTATAGAAACAATCATCAGACTGAAGTTTATCTTAAAGTGCAAATCAGGCTAGACTCATGTTCCAGAAAAAGACAAGTCAACCACCTCTAGAAACTGTAGCTAGTAGGGTGAACATAGTAAGACTTGTCATGATTCAGGCACCAGGACATCCTGGAGTTCATTATAGTAAATCACAGTATATGGAAATCCTGTACATCATCATAGATCATAGTATGTGGACATCCTGCACTCACAGTGTATCTCAGTACCATACATAGTAGTACTATACATCACAGTACATGGACATCCTATACATCAAAGTGCTATGCGTGCAGTAACTTAACAAATGACCGTGAATGGACAGAGAAGAGAGTCCTTAAACCCTAATATTTGAAGAGCAGGAGGGAAGAAGAGGGAAAGGGAGTAGTGCAAGGAGAGTAAAGCGGCTCTGTCCACTGGTCTCTGTCTCCTCCGTTCTGTGGCTGGCTGGTAGAAGAGTGAAGACTACGGAGAAAGCCAGACGACAAACAGCTGTTCTTCTCAGGTGAAGACACCAGATGGATAGATGGATACAAACGAATGAATATATTCATAAGCTGATGTGACCTGGGAAATAGCTGATTTGGGAGAGGTAAATTCATCTTTCAATGGGCAGAGAAAGGATAGCACAGGACATGAATGTGCAACATGCTGGGATAAGATGTACTAAAGTTCCTCTATGTGGTTCCGTTAGCCCAAGTCAAGAGAAGCTTCCGGTGAAGAACAGCTGGAAGCATGGAAGGAATCAAACAGGGGGAGGCTGAGTTAATTAATTGATGAAACAGAGTCAGTGCTGGTGGTCCACAACTGTAATCCCAATGATTCAGGAGGCTAAAACAGGAGGCTCACAAAGTCAAAGTGTCTAAACAATGTGAGTTCAAGGCTAGCCTGGGCAACTCAGTGAGACCCTGTCTCAAAATAAAAATTAAAAAGGGCTGGCGATGTAGACTCATGGTAGAGCACTTGCCTAGCATGGATACTGCCCTGGTTTCAATATCTAGTAAAATAAATAAATAAATAAATAAATAAATAAGCGACAGAAATGACAGTGGTATCCACCTTCCTGAGTTGACAGAGGGTTAAGTGAAAAACGTACTTTCCTGAATTAAGTAA